TTTCCTTAACACACCCCCATTTTGAGAAAAAGTCTAGCTCTGTCACCCAGGCTACAGTGCAGCGGCACAATCTCGGCTCATTGCCACCTCTGTCTCCCAGGTTCAAGTGATTCTCCTGCATCAGCATCCAGAGTAACTGGGATTACAGGTACCCACCACCATGCCCAGCTAATTTTTGTATTTTTAGTAAAGACAAGGTTTCACTGTGTTGGCCAGGATGGTCTTGAACTCCTGACCTTGTGATTCACCCACCTTGGTTTCCCAAAGTGCTGGAATTATAAGCATGAGCCACTGTGCCTGCCACATCTCCCTTTTTTTGAAGCTAAAAATACGCATTCTTGGGTTCTATATGTAAGAAACAGATCAAGTTGGAATAGCAATGAAAGAGATGATCTATGCAGTGTTTGCAAGTAACTGCTCACAATAAGTTAGAGGTCTATGTGTTCCTTCTCCACTCCTCATGTTTTACTTGACTAGATTTTGGGGGGTGGGGGAATGGGACGATCTAAAACTACAGCTAGTGCTCGACTTACAACCATGGTCAGGACCGCAGGACGGTTGTAATACGATTTGGTCGTAAGTAGAGTAGGCTGTATGTACAGTTGAAATGGTGCACGTGGAGATGGTAGTGCTGCCTGAAGCTGGTCCACACTGTCGAACACCCAGCTGGGCAACGTTTGCGCTGCCAGACGCGGAGCAGTCATGGCTAGCAATTGTGGCCGTAAAGTCGAATGGTTGTAAATTGCATAGGTCCTAAGTCGATCAATACCTGTGCATAGTGTCAGATCAGTCTTCTTGTCTAACTCTGCCACCAACCTCATTGGAAAGACCATTCAGTGTGTACTTGGGCATTCCTTCCTCATCAGTGTAACGGCAGGAACAGACTGACAAGACTAACTTGTGCCTTCAGTTCTTTGACATCTATGGATTTTCATTTGCATGGCTTCCACTGGCCACCAAATTTTGCACAAAGCTGAGCTGAACGTGACTCTCGTTACCCCTCGTGTCACTCTATTATCTGCTAAAATTTTATTGCTTTACTACATCTCAAACTTACACCTACTTGATATTATTTTTACCACATGTATACTTAGCCTCTTATTTTTTTTTAATATTTAGTGTCTGCATTTGATTCAGAAAGGTATTTTTCAGCCCTATCAAATTTGAAAGTAGCTAAGAATTAGGTAATTCTTCCTAGCAGGAAGAATTCTTCCTAGCTGTCTCACCAGCTGCTGTCTCCTAAACCTGCTTAATAGAGTCATATTTCATCGAGCTGCCTTTTAGATTTTTACTTTCCATGGCTTAATTCCACTTCTCATTATGTCTCAATCTGTAACTACACTTCAATGCACTAGAATTCTGCAAGCTAAAACAACATTTATACTCCCCCCCCCGATTTATAAAATACATTTTATAGACAGTTACAATTCAAGATCAGAGCTGAACCAAAGCCAATGTGAAATCCCTTGGGAGGAGAAGCCAAACTCGATCACTTGACCCTTAATCTCAATTCTCCCTCTTTTTCTTTCTCTCCTTTCTCTTTCTTCTTCCTTCCTTCCTTCCTTTTTATATACATACATTCTTTCATATTTTCCATAAACAGATTGCGAAATACAAGAATCAAACTGGCACTAAAATCAAGATACTACTTTTATACCTATATTAATCTTATATGAATGTAACAGGTATTTTCTGGGACAGGAGACAGCAGAGCAGCGAGGTATTTATGAATGCATCTGGCCCTCTGAGGAGCTCGGCTTAGTCCTCATCTCCCTAATGCAAGCTTAAACACCTGCCTTGGACAAAGTTGCTTGACCTCTTCTATTGCTCTGCTTCACTGATGCTTCGACCTGTGTTCAACTTCGCATCTTGGCCCCACTGTTCTCCCATCTCATTAAATGACAACATTGTCTAGTCTTGTGCTCCTTAATTTTTAGTTTTTTGAGAAGTGAATCCAAACATTCTTTCATGTATACTGATTTCTCATAGTGTACAAAAGAGAGAGGAGGACAATAAGGAGAAGGCAAAGAAGAAAAAGGAAAAGAGAATGAGAAAGAAGAGAGAGACGATTCTTGGCATTTCTTCCTTAATATTTATTTTACTTTTTATTTATTTTAAATATCTACTTACAGCAGATTTTTAGAATCAAGATTAAAATTTTATTTTCTCTTATTGCAGATTCTATTTTATTTCTTGAGACAAACTGGCAGCCTAAATTGCTTATTATTTTTATTTGCTTTTAAAAGCTGCTACTATTTTTTAGCACGCTGGGATGCCGATGTGATGATGTCTCACCAGTTCTTGTAGACAGACAGACTCACAACATGCCGATGGCTTCATGGAAATGAACATTTGCCACAGCTACATAGGAGCTTACTCAAATGGGCAACACTAAATCTAACTTATTTAAATGGGCAAGACTATCAGGCAAATGAGTCAGAAGTTAAAACTATCATTAAAGTTGTAGGGGTCCTTTTAGAATTAAATTTTCAAAATGATTTGTTTTGGGATTTGCAGTAGTTAGAAATGCTAATTTGTGCATCAGAGAACAACATAAATACATAATTGGGTAAATGTGGCTTACTTGAGCTCTTATAAGCAAAATTTAGGGACCTTAGCAGACAGTAATACTAATATGAGTCAAATTGAAAGTACATTATAACCTCAAAAGTATTTTAATCTTCAAAAATAGACATTTAATATCTTCCATGGAGAATGCAATAGCCCTGCTGTACTCTGCGCTTTGATGAGAATACACCTCAAATACTGTGTTGAGTTCTGATCTCCTGAACTTGAGATGGCATAGACATGCTGAAAATGCATAGGAGAGGGTGACCAGGTTGGTGAAGAGAACAATAGAAGGAGGTAGCAGTGATGCATCTAAAGAAAAAATTAAAAAACTAAGAAGAAATAGAAAAAGTATTTTTAAATATCTGAAAGATGGTCACACAGAAGAGGCAGATTTTGTTCCAAATACTATGTAGAATGTAGTCTTCTCATCAACTTGGTCAAATATACCAAAGCTTGAATCAATGAGTAGAAGCTACAAGAAGTTCAATAAAATGAAGAATTTTAAAAGACAGAGTTGTCCAAATGGACTAGGCAGTTTAGGAATTAAAGAATTTCCATCATTTGAAGGGGTTGGCACAGAAGATCCTAAGCAGATGAGATTCTAGCAGATGTTTGTTCAGATTGAGTGACTTTTAAGGAATCCTGTTCAACATTACATTCAACAATACCATAAAATCAAAAGCCATTTGATTTCCAAAGCCCTGGACATACCATAAAGTAAGGGTCAAAGATTTTCAAGAAAAGATGAATAAAATGAGAATTAAAAATTGCCAATTTCAAATTCCCAAGCTGAGATAAACACATTTCTAGTTAAGTAACGATTAAAAATCTCTTTTTTTGAAATTATTTGGTTAGTTATCCACACGTAAAAGGCTGTTATATAGTCCATTCAAACTTGGCTTCTCATCAATGGGGCTAATTTTGCATATTTTGTTAATGACCAGTACATTTTTTTTAGGTCTATGATTGTCATACTATGATTCCTAATTACATTTGACAACATACTTTTGACATATTTTTTGTGTGTAAACATCTATGTAAGAATATCATTTTAAAATTTTATCTTCTGCACAAAATTACTCTGAAATGTTGCATGAGAAGGTAATGAAATATGATATGACAGGAGGCATATTACTCTAAAAGTCCTGAAGATAATAACAACTATTCATTTGGGGATAGAAGGGAGGTAAATAAATGTATAGCTGATGCTTCAGAAAAGAAGAAAGAAAAGTGAGTAAAGCCTTTAATGTTTCTCAAAACAACATTTACAAACATTGAGCCAGATCCTCCCAGATCCCTAAATGACCACCAGGTCATTAGCTCATTGGGGTATGCAGTCCCTGGCCACAATGCATTACAATGGGAAGTCATTGATTAGATAACAAAAAGGTTAAAGAGGCTTCGGATCAGATAGGCTTTCCCATTATTTAGGTTCCCATTGAAATTCATGCAAATCAAAGAAAGAACTAACATGAATTAAAATAGGGAAGATTTCTTAAAGGCAAAAAAAAAAAAAAAAAAAAAAAAAAAAGACTAGCAACACTAAGACTAACCCAAAAGAAAACTACTACACGAGAGGGGGCAAAGGAGGTCACAATATGGTGATAGAATGTATTTGATGGTCTTCCATCATTTGGGAGAGTCAAATGATGCAAAAAAAAAAAAAAAAAAAAAGTAAATATAATTTTCCCATGGTAAATATTTCATTATTTCAGTGAAACTCCAAAATGTATCATCTGTACATTTACTCACTATAAAAATGCCAGTTTTTCAATGGACCCTTTAAAGATGCCATTCATTGATATATCTATATATCATGATATACAGATATCATGGTGAAAGTATTGGCTTTTAAGCAAGACAGAAACCAATTTCTTAAAACACGTAAAGCATAGCTACAATAATATTTTGATCTCTTTCATTAAATCATTACTGAAAATTTCTATTTCCAAAGAAAGTTTTTTTCAGATTGTTTTCATTATTAGTTCAATATCTGTTTTTACAAAGTTAAGCAGAATGGGCAAATCTTAGGGCATTTAAAAGGACTCCCTGTAAGGAACCTTCTCTTACTTGTTTTAAGAAATACTGTAATCATAAACATTAATCAGCTTTCTCCTTCTAGATTTCAGATGCAACCAATGAAAACATCAGTATTCTGTTTGATAGAAACAAAGAGAAGGCAAGTAATCCAGATAATTAGTGACACTTTTATATGTTAAAGTTAGGGAACCATTTCAAGGAAAGATAAAGAGACTTAAAAGAGAGAATTAACAATACCAGATACATATTATTTAATTGACACACAAATTGATAATCTCAAGATAACATGAAAAGTTAGTAACTCAAGGAAATATTATATATCAAAGATAAGAAATGAAAGATAAAGTTGGTAGTAGTTAAATTTCATCACAATAAAAATTTGCAAATACCTTCTTCAACATCTGAGATATATTCGCCATCACTGATCATTTCAGGGGCATTGGCTTTACGAACTGCATGATTTAAGTGAACAATATAAGTGGATGAAAAATACACACTCTTGATATTACAACAGAACATTTCAATATTCCTGAAAAACGTTTTTGCAATGAACTTTCTTCAGGAAACAAACAAAATACACAGTCACTCATAATTATTGTGAATGCAAAAACATTTTCATACCTTCATCATCAGACATATCAAGAACTTCATTCATCGTTTCTGGAACATTCATTTTGTGCTTCTCTGTGACGGTCTAGTAACAAAAAAGCAGTCATTTTAGTGTGAGCAGACTGTACATTTTAATGGGTCTATTCATTTATCTCTAAATTAATCAGCTTCCTGTGAAATGCATGTGTTGAATATCTTGAATCTCCCACATATAAAATGACATCAAAATTGTTGTCCCTTAGTGGCATAAAGGTGGTCACCATATACAGGACAGGAATACAAAATGAGAGAATTCTAGTGGCAAATCAACACAGCTTAAAAGATTTAGGTCTCTAATAAAGCTTTTTAAAGGAAAAGAGAAGATTCTATCCCTCCTATTCCACTGCTGTACTTTTTCGCGGTCTGATGAATCTGCCACTGCATTCCACTAAAGGTCTTGCTTGGCTGAAGAGAAGCCAAATGAACTGCAAGAAATATGTTTCTATTACTTTTGCCAAGCTTTCTATCTACTTTGTTTTCTCCTCTTATATGTAATTTTAATTCCTAAGATAAACCAACATATTAAAATAATACTTAAAACAATGTATATGAAAAGATACTTTAAAAGTGATGCATTGGCAGGATCATTTTAGCCTACCCCAAAATGTAAAGAACAGTATATTATGGAGCAAATGCCTACTGCCTCTTTTACTTGCTCTTTGGTAACTTAGATTATATCCATCCAAAAGATACTGTCAGCATCACAGTGAGAAACTCTTAATGACTTTAGTCTAAAAGTGATTTTTAAAAAAATTCTCAGCATATGAGAGACTAATGGTACAAGGGAAGACACACATTTAAATAAGACAACTGAAAAAAAGCCAGGTTGTTAAAACTAAAAAGAGGTACAAATTCATTGTTTCTTAGAGACAATACTTGGTAAATGTGATTTCTACCCCTATCCCCAGTTATTGTGTTGAAATAAAGCATTACTTGATGTCTTTTCCAGCATGTAATACTGCAATGGAATATTTTTTTTTTAAATAAACTTTTATTTTTAGAAGAGTTTGAGATTTATAGAATAATTGTGAAGATAGTATAGACAGTTCCCATATACCCCAAACCAAGTTTCCCCTATTATTAAAACTTCTATTATTATTATTTGAGATGGAGTCTCACTCTGTTACCCAGGCTGGAGTGCAGTGGTGCAATCTCGGCTCACTGCAACCTCTGCCTCCTGGATTCAAGCAATTCTCCTGCCTCAGTCTCTCAAGTAGCTGGGATTATAGATGTGCGCCACCACTCCCGGCCAATTTTTGTATTTTTAGTAGAGATAGGTTTCACCATGTTGGCCAGGCTGGTGTCGAACGCCCAATCTCAGGTGATTCACCTGCCTCAGCCTCTGAAAGTGCTGGGATTATAGGTGTGAGCCTGGCCTATTATTAAGATCTTATATTAGCATGTCACAATTAACGAATCAACATTGATACGTTATGATTAAAGTTTATATTTTATTCATTTTTCTTCAGTTTTTGCTTAATGTCCTTTTTATGTTTCAGGATCCCATAGAGGATACTGTATTATATTCAGTTGTGTCTTCTTAGTTTCCTCTGGGCTGTGACAATTTCTCAGACTTTCCTTCTTTGTTTGTTTTTTGAGATGGAGTTTCCCTCTTGTTGCCCAGGCTAGAGTGCAAAGGTGCGATCTCGGCTCACTGCAACTTCCGCCTCCTGGGTTCAAGTGATTCTCCTGTCTCAGTCTCCTGAGTAGCTGGGATTACAGGCATGCGCCATCATGCCAGGCTAATTTTGTATTTTTAGTAGACAGGGTTTCTCCATGTTGGTCAGGCTCGTTGGTCTCAAACTCCTGACTTTAGGTAGTCCACCCATCTCGGCCTCCCAAAGCGTGGGGGTTACAGGCATGAGCTACCATGCCTGGCCAATTTTCCTTTATTTATTTATTTATTTATTTTTTAATATAAGTTCTAGGTTACATGTGCAGGATGTGCAGGTTTATTACATAGCTAAACAGATGTGTGCCATGGTGGTTTCCTGCACCTATGAACCCATCACCTAGGTGTTAAGCCCCACATGCATTAGCTGTTTATCCTGATGTTCTTCCTCCTTGCCCACAGGCCCCAGTGCGTTTCGTTTTCCTCCCCGTGTCTACGTGTTCTTAATGTTCAGCTCCCACTTATAAGTGAGAACATGTGGTGTTTGGTTGTCTGTTCCTGTGTTAGTTTGCTGAGGATAACAGCTTCCAGCTCCATCTATGTCCCTGCAAAGGACATGATACCATTTCTTTTTATGGCTGCATAGTATTCCATGGTATATATGTAGCACATTTTCTTTATCCAGTCTATTATTGATGGCCATTTGGGTTGATTCCACATCTTTGCTATTGTGAATAGTGCTACAATCAGCATACACATGCATGTATCTTTGTAACAGAATAATTTATAATCCTTTGGGTATATACCCAGTAATGGGATTACTGGGTCAAATGATATTTCTGGTTCTAGGTCTTTGAGGAATGGCCACACTGTCTTACATAACAGTTTAACTAATTTACATTTCAGACAACAATGTAAAAACATTCCTATTTCTCCGCAGCCTCAACAGCAACTATTGTTTCTTGACTTTTTAATAATCATCATTCTGACTGGTATGAGATGGTAGCTCTCTGTGGTCTTGATTTGGATTTGACTTTCCCTGGTTTTGATAAGCTTGACAGTTTTGCAGTGTACTGGTCAGATATTTGTAGACTATCCATCAACTGGGGATTGTCTCATGGTGGTTTTTTTCTTTTTCTAATGACTAGACTGGGGCTGTATGTTTTAGGGATGAACATCACAGAGGAAAAGTGCCATTTCATCACATTGTATCAACCGTATGTACCATCAACATGACGTATCATTGTTGATGTTGACCTTGATCATATGGCTGAGGCAGTATTTGTCAGGTTTCTCCATTGTGAAATGACTCTATTTCCCTCTGCTTCCACACTTTTTTCTTTGGCAAGAAATCACTATGTTCGGCCCACACATAAGCAATGGGGAATTATGTTCTAATTCTTTGAGAGTGAAGTATTTTCGTACATTATTTGGAATTCTTCAGCCTGAGAAATTTGTGTTCTCTTTTCCATTTATTGAATTACTTCTATATAATAGTATGAATTCATGGATATTTATTTTATAATTTGTACTATACTTCAATACTGTTATATTTATTTTTGTCAAATTGTTCCAGCTGTGGCCACTGGGAACTCTTTCAGTTTATTCCTATGTCACTTTCACATACCCCCACCATTGTGTCTGTGTATAGTTTATTTGCTTTGGGTTAGGGAAGCAGGAACATTTCCTTACTTTTTGACACTCTAAGATGTTCCAGGCTCATCTAATCTATTTCCTGTGCTAGTCTCAGATTCAGCATTTCTCCAAGGAGCCCTGCTTGCTTTTAGCAGAGAATGGTATCAGCAACCAATATCTGGGTGCTAGAGGTGTACTGCTCCTTACATATGAAGAAATTGGATATGCTAAACAATGCAATTTCAAAAGATACAATTCACATCTTTTGAATATCAGCTTCTATCTATTCTGTTTGGTATGCCGTTTTGATTGTAATCTAATTAACTAAACCATCTTTCTCAGCATTGCCACATCACGTATTTTACTCATATAGAAAAGACATTCTCTTTTCGTTTTGAAAAACTGAAGTTTGCTCATAGAATCAATGGCTGCCGGAGTCCCAGTAACTGGCTATACGAATATCATGCTTGTGGTGGAGGCTGAGCCATAGTTATTAGCTTAAAATCATACACTCCACCCTGAATTACATCAGTCCTGTCTAAGCTAGTTTGCCTGTAATCACTAAAGCACGGCTGACAAGGTGGTGTCTCAGCTGGAGATAATACACCAAATACCACAATGCTGGACTAAGTCTTAGAAACTTCTATGGACTCTTTCTAATCAACGTGAATATTTCTTTTGGTGGAAGCCTCATTTCTTCACTAAGCAAACTGGACCTTTCCAATTAGCATGCAGAGTGTCTTCTCTCTTTTGCAGAAAGTCATCAACAAGGACAGCTGGTGATGTTAAGAGTGAAAAGGCGCTCCTGCATACATTCTCTCCTCTGATGGGAACCTTTGAGACCTTTCTCGGTCTTTCAGATTTTTTGAAGCTGTAACTTTATTTTGTCCTTAACTCCACTTTCTCTTAAAGCTTTTTCGATTTTGACAAAACATTTTGAAATTTCCTAATGGGTGAGAAAGTAATTTACATTCAACCAAATAAGATTTGCATTTTGAACTTCTACCTGTCTAAATTCTTTTACCATTGAAACAGAAGTATTAATATGATATGTTTATTGCAATGACTTCAAAGCTCTATAGCACTGTGACACTCAGCTATTGTTAAACAGCTTGTCCTCTTCTTCTCCTGTCCTAGCCTAGATAGAGCAATATGGGATATAAAATGAAAGGTAATAAACATGATTGATTTGAACATTATTTTGGGAACTTAATAATCGATTTTAATATAATGAAATACTCAAGAGGTGTATGAAAGCAACATGTGGAAATTTCTCTTAGACAAAGTGTATCATGAAGTTCAGAATGTGTGCTGGTTGCTAATCATTATTCTATTCCATTAAAACAATTGTTTTCACTTTTGCAAGTCACAAAATTTTTCTCTCGTAATCGGCAGGCTTATTTTTCAGTTTCTAATGACTCAGAATGATACATTGAGTAAAACTGCCAGATAGCTCAAACTGCAGGTAGCTACAGAGACTCTCAACCCATGTTTTTCACAAAAAGCACTTCGTATACAAACTAATTTGCAGATACTAACCATTTTCGCCTTCATCTTAGAAGGTGGTGGGAGAGAAAAGGGGACAGAGTTGATAATTCAAAATGTTCCAGAGTTCTATATTTACTCTGAACAGAGTCTATCTCAGGCCTATGTGTTGAGTCACGGATTTAGGAATAACTCGAATAAGCCTCTGATATCATGTAATATTTGTTCTTAATTCCAAAGTTATCAAGTCTTGATGCTGTTCAAAGGCCCAGATGGGGATGAAAAGAAATGGCTTATCCTAGAGGCTGCAGTTTGGAAAAGTGTGTTTGAGCAATACGGCCTCCTGGTAAAGATCGGCTTTAAATCTTAACAAAACAGCCTATTGTTTTTCTTATAAAAACTCCAATAGGTGGACAGAAGATGAGTGACAGTAGTAGGCAAAACCAGTCCTGATTCCATCTGGATTTGTTTTTAAACAATGTAAAAATTTTTCACAGGAATGATCATGTAGCCAGGTACCATTTGTGCATTAAAACATTTTTAGGGAACCAACTTAGAGTTTTCAGTTTTTTTACTTTGTCAAGGAAGGACGTTAAAAAATTTCTGCCTTCACCACTTCATTAAAAAGTTGTTTTATCAAAGCAAACAAATAAACACATTTAGTTGTATATGGAAGTAAAAACTCTGTAGCTACAAATGCATCTTTTAAATAGATAATCTAAATGTTTTAAATTTTTATTCATATTGGCAGTAAGAATTCTACTGTCCTGACTGCTAACAAGAAGGCAACTGTATTTTACAACACGGTGCTTCATTTATGAATGGGAAAAATATTCATCTCAGAAAAGCCCAAGAAACTGGCTGAAAGCTGGCTCCTAGGAAAACAAGGCTCTGCATTCCTTACTTACAGTTGTGGTCATGGTCTCTTCGGTCACTATCTTCAGGGTATCCACTACTGAGATGTAGCCAAGGCGCCGGGCAATGCCAAGGGCAGTATTCCCGTTCTGGCAAAAGAAAAATGTGAACCAGGAATTAGCAAGCCTTATTCCACATTTTTTTTTTTCCTGAATCAAATCAGACCCATCCCACTGTCATACACAAAAAAGTGTTTCATTAGAGACATACCTTGCACAAAACCTGCCTAACCTGTTTGTACTCATACAGCAAAGTCTGGGCAGCTACACATGCAATCCAAGAAATTTTTCATGTTATACATAAGCAATCAATGAAACCAACACAATTTTTTTTCTTACATGTGTACTTCCTACTAGGTGACAATGCAATCAGTAGTTTTCACATATAAAACACTAATCATCTCTCTCTCTCTGAACAGCTCTTGTTATTGTTCATTGTTCTTCTTTCTCATTATACTGAATGCTCTGTGTATCCATCTTAACGAAAGTACAATGAAAAATGTAAGAAGAAAGGCCAGGCGCAGTGGCTCGTGCCTGTAATCCAAGCACTTTGGAGGCCAAGGCAGGAGGATCACCTGAGGTCGGGAGTTCAAGACCAGCCTGACCAACATGGTGAAACCCCGTCTTAAAAAAAAAAAAAGAAAAGAAAAGAAAAGAAAAGAAAAGAAAAATGTAAGAAGATACCACAGCCCGGCCCATCTATCTCCTCCCTCTTCTCCTGAGCTGGCCCTGAGTGCTTACCACGGTGAGTTCATTGGGGGAGGCATTGTTCTGAAGTAAGACGTTTATTATATGCGTATGTCCCTGCTGCGCTGCTTGATGTAATGGCGTATACCCATTCTGTAGAAGGAAGATGGAAGAGAGCATTTTTACTTCCTTTGAAACAAAAATAAATGATTTTGATGGAAATAAAAAAGAAGGAAGGAGCTTACCTTTGTTTTGGCATTAACTTTTGCAGAATGCTGGAGCAGGAAATTAACAATCTTGATATTTCCATAGTGGCAGCCTACATGCAGTGGGGTGTATCCCATCTGTAATATTATTTTTAAAAAGCATTATAATTATACTTTTACTAACAGCTATCCTAAACAGAAGCAAAATCATGATTTAACCTTTCTTTTTGAGCTGGAAAAGTAGGTATTTTTTCCTTCTCTGTGTAAAATAAAATTGCCCTTGATAATTCTCAGCATAAGACTTAGGTATAAGTTAAAATGCCATTGCCCATAAAATTGTTAGCTCCCCAGAGTGCTTTATTTTTTATCAGCTTATCTTGTTCTTAGTACTTTTCAAGATAGAAAGGAAAGATGGAACAATTGATAACACAGACAGACTGACTCAGTGGCTTCTTGTTCAGGGTCAGAAGAGAGCTTTACAGAGTCTTGACTTGTTTATTGAATATTTTCTGAAAGCTTAAAATCTAGGCAAAAATGAAGTGGCTAAATAATAACACATGGCAAGAGGAGATTATCAAAATGCCTGATAGAGATAGGAAGATGCACAGAAACACTGAGAAAGAGAGGGAGGCTGGTGTGACCTCGGGTGGTCCGAGAAGTATGAACTCAGACAAGGTATACCAAGATCGTTAGTCTTTTGCC